TATTATTATTATTATTATTTTTATAATTATAATTATTATCATTATTATTATTATTATTATTATTATTATTGTGATTAACTGACCGTTCTTCAGAGGCTCCTCAGCAGAGGCAGCGATCTGGCGACAGGTACGTCCTGGAGCATCACGCTCTCCGGTTGGCTTCCTGACCTTCTTGATTTCGGCAGTGACCTTCTTCAGGGCCTCGATGGTGTTGCGGGCCTTCTCATCAGGAGGAGCATCTCCCTGAGGTACGAGAGCAGGGCGATATTATGTTATGATTGATGGCCGGGTGGGATAAGGGAGGAGGGAGGGTGGGAAGGGGGAGGAGAAAGGTGGGGGAGGAGAGTAGGAGGAGGGTGCTGGGGAGTAGGAGGGTGGGAAGGGGGAGGAGAAAGGTGGGGGAGGAGAGGGAGGAGGAGGAAGGTGCTGGGGAGTAGGGAGAAGGAGAGGGGGGTGGGGTGAGGAAAAAGATGGGTATGTGAGGAGATAGGAAGGCTAGCTATCAAACAGATTATTATTAGTATATTATTATATTATGCAGAAAACTAAGCGTAAAGGGACGTTGTCACAATTTGTCGGGGATTTGTTTTCTTTCGTTAAAAAAGGCAGTAGTCACACAATACAAATAGTCTTGCTATAGTCGAGCACCCTCGCAACGTTTCCCTCCTCCTCCTTCATCAGGTTTCAAGTAGAGTCAATTGGTATGCGCCATGATGAACCGGACTTACATCAGGGTACAAAGTCTTGGATATTGTAATGCACGTATAATATTGTTTACAGTCAGCTATCTGATGATACTACCTTGTTTATCAATGTCTGACAAAGACCGATATATCCACAGAGGAGAATATTTGTGCCCCGAAATAGAAGAATTAAAAAAAATTAAAGGGTAAGTTTACTTGCTCCTTCTGCTGTGGCTGATGAGACCAATTCTGGTTGAGCAAGCTATCAGGGGAATAAAAATTATGTACTTACCAGGTAGGGATCAGCCTTCATGCCACCGGAAGTCCAGCTGGACATGGCAGCAGCGTACACGGATTGACCAGGAGGACCCTGTGATGGTTGGTGGGTGGGGGAGGGGGAGAAGACAAGATTATAACATTATAGTTCAGCAGCTCGTGGAGTTAAGAAAGAACAAAGCAAAAGCAGAGACTTTTTTTTTCAAACCCAACTAAACTAATGGTGTCACACGGCAACTATTAAACATTTAATATATTATCAGCAAATATTTGTTTAAATAAAAGAGCAGATTTATTCCTTATCAGTGACATTTCTCGAAATAAAAAAAAAAAAAACACCCCGAAAAATACCCGTCCTAAGACCTATCCTTTGAAATAAACCCCAGAAAAAAAAACTATAAGTGCTTTGTATTTTCTGAAATCAAGTTGACACAAAACAGGATGTACATTAACACGGACTGAAAATGACAAAATATTGGATTAAAAACTCTCGGTTCACAAATGTTCTCATTTTCAGATGTCACTTAAACAATTTCATTTCAGTCGTTTTGTGTAATATAAGTTTAGCCCTCTGGGCGATTGAGTTTGGAAGAAGAATGAGAGAGAGAAAGAGTGAGAGAGACAGAGAGAGACAGAGAGAAAGAGAGAGAGACAAAGACAGAGAGAGAGAGAGAGAGAGACAAAGAGAGAGAGACAGAGAAACAGAGAAAGAGAGAGATAGAGAGAGACAGACAGAGAGAGAGAGAGAAACAGAGAGAGAGAGAAAGAGGCAGAGAGAGGGACAGAGAGAGAGAAAGAGAGAGAGAGAGAGAGGCAGAGACAGAGGGACAGAGATAGAGAGACAGACAGACAGAGACACAGACAGAGAGACAGAGATAGAGAGACAGAGATAGAGATAGAGAGAAAGAGAATGAAAACGTTTTACTTACAGGAGGACCGGCACGACCAGCCTCTCCTTGTTGTCCCTGTGTGGATGGAAAAGAGAGAAACAAAAATTAATACAGCAGAGTAATGGCACAGTCAAAACTGTCTAAGACGACCACCTATTGTGTAGGAGAAAAGCCGCCGTCTTCCAAACTGTCACTAATCTATATCGTAAAAAAAAATAATTTCGCTCTGGAGGAAATGGGAAGTGACCGATTGTCTTATACAGGTGGCCGTTAGAGCAGGATCGTCGGTATAGCATGACATTACTATGATGCTCTACCTCGATTAAAGAACACAGGCTCTGAGCGTTTTACAAATTAAATTTATGCAGGTAGTAACATATAGACAGAGCATTGTGTTTTGCCTAAAGCCCTATATACACGATTTATCTTTTTATTCTTAGAATAAATGAATGACGAGCAGACTTTGTAATGGTTATACGATTTAATCTCTCACGGAGGCATTCTAGACAATTGTAAATGTTATATAAAGTGGAGGGTCTACAATCAGATGAAAATAAGATTATTTTGGAAATTAATGCTAGTGATGATGATTATGATGATGGTTTTTTTTTGGTTTCCTTAATGGGCCTGGTGGACTCCACGAAGAAATCTTCGAGCGAGACTTTTTCGGCTCCATTGTCAATATACTAAGAGGCGCCTCCACTCGTACAAATAACTCCATTCGAATTTGCCATTGGTGATGATGTTGATGATGATAATGATGATGATGATGATGATGATGATGATGATGATGATGATGATATGATGAAAATCGTCAAGTAAGTAGTTTGGATTAACACTTACCCTTCTTCCATCCTCTCCGGCGGGTCCTCTGGAGCCCTGAGGAGAGAGAGAAAAATAAATCATTATTTGTTTGGAGGTGCACACGCTGCTGCTTTTGTTGCTGTTGGTGGTGGTGTTGTTGTTATTGATGGCTTTGTTTCAAATGTTGTTTTTTATGGTCGTTGAATTTGGGGTTATTGTTGATAATGTTATTGTTGTTGTTGTTGCGGCTGCTGCTGCTGCTGCTGTCGTTGTGGTGCGGTAGTGTCAGTTTTGGGAAACATGTAACATGAAATTGCCGGTAAACCGAACACACATGAGATGGAATTGTCCTTAAACTTGATACATTGGGTAACATGGGATTGCCTTTGGACTTAATACATTGTGATATACGGAATAGTCCTTAAACTTAATACATTGTGATATACGGAATAGTCCTTAAACTTAATACATTGTGATATACGGAATAGTCCTTAAACTTAATACATTGTGATATACGGAATAGTCCTTAAACTTAATACATTGTGATATACGGAATAGTCCTTAAACTTAATACATTGTGATATACGGAATAGTCCTTAAACTTGATACATTTTGTAACATGGAATTGTCCTTAAACTTGATACATTTTGTAACATGGAATTGTCCTTAAACTTGATACATTTTGTAACATGGAATTGTCCTTAAACTTGATACATTTTGTAACATGGAATAGTCCTTAAACTTGATACATTTTGTAACATGGAATTGTCCTTAAACTTGATACATTTTGTAACATGGAATTGTCCTTAAACTTGATACATTTTGTAACATGGAATTGTCCTTAAACTTGATACATTTTGTAACATGGAATTGCCCTTACACTTGACCCTAAAACGTGATACATTGTGTGATGTGAAATTGCCGATTAACTTGATATATCAAACATAGGATTGCCATTCATCTTGACCCATATAACATATAATTGACCTTAAACTTGACCTATATAACAGAATTGCCCTTCAACTTGACCCGTGTAACATAAAATTGCCATTCAACTTGACCCATATAACATAGACTTACCCTTCAACTTGACATATAATAGAATTACTATTCAACTTGACGCCTACGGCATGGAATAATAATCGCCCTTAATTAATGTGCGGTACTCACAGTGCGTCCTGGGGGTCCCTCGACTCCGGTCTCTCCGTCAGGTCCCATGGGTCCACGGCCTCCGTCGGATCCCTGTAAAGACAATCAGAGATGGTGGTGAGTTGTTTGTTCAGCTGATTCCTCAGTTAACTCATTTAGAACGCGCAAACTGGTAATTTCACAACGCTTTAGTTCGTTTTGTTAAGAGTTTAACGACACTTGTCTAGTTTTAGTAAGCGTTTTACAGCACTTGTAACGCAGTAAGATAATATAAGTGCCGAAGATGGGAAGTTTTACAAAAGAGTAACTAACATAAAAAAGAAAGAGGAGAGATGAGGACGATAGCTATTTGACAGGAAGAAGGAGTATACCACACCCGAGCTCCTGCCAACCACCCACACAACACTTACAATACAAATAAATCATACAAATGTCGAAGATTAAAGGTCTTGCACGTCGAGTAACTGTACAAGAGAAGAAGCAGTAGAGATGAGGACGATAGAAGTTCAATAGGGAAGAAGGAGCAAATCAAGCCAGAGTGCCCGCATATCTTCCGATCGACAACGCTTGAAGACGAGCTGCGTCAATAGTATGTTTAAGATGCAACGTGTCTATGTGACGTTTTAGATGCAGTAGAGAGGAGAGGAGAATGTGAGAAGGCAAGCAATCGTAGCTTGAGCCTAATGATATTTGATAAAACAAACGACTTACTCTGGGTCCGGAAGGTCCTGGTGGTCCTCTGGAGCCAGCATCTCCGAGGGGTCCCTGAAATCAGAACGAAGGTATAAAATTAAAATCTACACCAAGAGCTTTTGTCATGAGTAACACCCAAGACTCACTTCTTCCTTTCGAAGTTATATTATCTTCCTAGGGAGCTGATCCTTCCATGAAACATATATTTACACAATTTGGTGCAATTGAAGCCCCCTCGCCCCCC